TGTCTACGCGCTATATGCCCGGCCCATGTCCATTTCCTCTTCTTGATTTCAACTATGATATCCTTAACCCCCATTCGTTCCCTAATCCACTCTGCTCTCTTCCTGTCTCTTAAGGTTACACCTAGCACTTTTCTTTCCATTGCTCCCTGCGTCATCTTCAATTTAAGCTGAACCCTCTTTGTAAGTCTCCAGGTTTCTGCTCCGTAGCTAAGTAGTGGCAAGGTACAGCAGTTATACACCTTCCTCTTGAGGGATAGCGGCAATCTACCTGTCATGATTTGAGAGTGCTTGCCAAAGTGCTCCAGCCCATTCTAATTCTTCTAGTTACTTATGTCTCGTGGTTAGGCTCCGCAGTTATTACCTGTCCTAAGTAGACATAGTCTTTTACAACTTGAAGTGCACTATCGCCTATCTCGAAGCGCTGCTCTCTTCCGAGGTTGTTGTACATTACTTTCATTTTCTGCAGATTAATTTTAAGACCCACCTTTCTGCTCTCCTTGTCTAGCTCCGTAATCATCAGTTGCAATTCGTCCCCTGAGTTACTCAGCAATGCATTGTCATCGGCGAAGCGCAGGGTTACTAAGGTAGTCTCCATAAACTCTTATCTCTGTTTCCATTCTAGGCCTCTGAAAACCTCCTGTAAGCACGTGGTAAACGGCATTGGTGAGATTGTGTCCCCCTGCCTTACCCCTTCTTGATTGGTATTCTGTTGCTTTTTTTTTAATGAAGCACTATGGTAGCAGTTGATCCCCTGTGGATTTCTTCCAGGATGTTTATATATGCTTCATCGACGCCCTGATTCCGCAGTGTCTGCATGACGGCTGATATTTCTACTGAATCAAACGCCTTCTCGAAATCAATGAAGGCTATGTATAGGGGTTCGCTGTATTCTGAGCATTTCTCTATTATCTGATTGGTAGTATGAATGTGGTCAATTGTTGAGTAGCCTGTTCGAAATCCTGCTTGTTCTTAGGTTGATTGAATTCTAATGTTTTCTCAACTCTGTTAGCGATTACCTTTGTAAATAGCTTGTATACTACAGAGAGCAAGCTGATCGGCCTGCAGTTCTTCAAGTCCTTCTCATTCTCTTTCTTATGTATTAAGATGATGTTAGCATTCTTCCAAGACTCTGGTACTCTTCCTGTCAGGAGACACCTCGTAAATAGGGTGGCTAGTTTTTCTAACACAATCTGTCTGACGGACTACGTGGTCATCAATATCTTTAGCCTGGTTGAATGTGCCCTGCTTTTTAACGGTTGTTAAGCAGAATGCTTCCATTCAATGAAGGGGTGTGCACTAGCAGCAAGCATGCCAAGGACAGGATTTGGTTGCATTTTGGGTGAGCTTTTCAGGAACCGCAACACTTTCACTTCTTGGCGTTGAGTGTATTTGAAGTATTTGAATCACCTCAGCTTGAAGGCCGAGGTGCTTCAAAACTGCATGACTGCCGTCTTGAGTCATCCACTGCAACAACAAAAAAGCATAGACGTCTACAAAGCTCTTTGAAAAGTATGTGTGCCTCATTGACTACTGTTCACAGCGAATAGCAGAAAATCGTTGGCCTTGAGAATGAATTGATGCAAGTCTCACTGGATTGCATTAGGGCTGTGGTTTTGCTGTTTCTACCTATTAACACTATAGCAGTTGTCCAGCATTTGTACCTAGGCGCCATCGAAGCTGTCAAACAGCCCTAAAAGAAAAAGAAGACTGCTGCTCAGGATTATTCTAACCCTTGAAGGGGAGTTTCTTTTCACCTGCTGGTAACAGTTCACCTGCGGCAGTGTTCACAGTGTTAAGTTGAATTTATGATGGAGCAGAACTGTTTTAAGTTAGCTGGTATGTGCGGGTGTTGCAGAAGATACGAGCGACACCACTGAGGAGGCTCTTGAATCCTTTGCTGCTTGTCGTTTTTCATGAGAGCAGTTCACCAAAGCCACATGTTCAAAATAACCATCATTGCCAAGCTGTCATGATGAAAGAAATGTTTAAAAACATATTTTTGTCGCATGGATGAGCTCTCATTTATATCTTTAAGGTGTGCTTTTCTCAAGATACAATTTTAGACAACTTACAGAGTTTTGACATCATGTTTTTGGTACTTCTGATAGCCAGCATGAGATGAAATCGTGCCCACATGTTTCTTAACATGTGAAGAGTGCAAGTATCTCCTTCAAAATTGGGTGCCAGCTATATAATTACTGCGAACGTGAAGTAAGCAATCGGTATAGTCTGAGCATTCTAAGACTTCTCGCATTACAACATAAAATTCTTGTCCATTAGCATGACCGATACGCTCTTTCTTGTTAGTTTTTTGGATTCCACAGTTAATGTGGAGCAATATAGGCCATTATTGATTCGGAGCCATATAAATTTAGTGTGTGTCCAGAAAGAACCATATTTTACATTGTCATAGTACAAAACAAAAACTATGCAACTCTTTATAAAACTGATTACATATATGTAGCGAGCATAATAGCCTATGTATACAGTGAAAATTTCATTTCACTATGGAACTAAACAAACTTTTTTTTTTCCGAATGCCTCATGCTGCACCACTTCATACTAATAGGGATTCTTCCTGCATAGCTGTTTGCCAATTTAACCACCGAGTTGAGTATGGGCACTTGGTATTTTTCTGATGCATATTGCTGGCCATGTTGCTGGCACTTTTTAGTGAAAAAAACAGAGGCTGTGGCCACTGGGCTTCTTAAAATACTGAGCGAATTCAGTGACGTCATGCCCGGTATGCCGTGTCATCTGCGACAGCAGCACCGCTCAAGTGCGGCTTCCTCGATTAGTTCCAGCAGTCATGAGTTAGTCACGAAGGCCATTGTTGAAGATGTGAAAGACTGTTGCTCACCTAGTGCTCGGAACACAGAGTGTGTTTCTTGATTCACTTGCGAGGTCAATGAAGCGGAGGGTGAAGGTGCCTTCCCTTGGGTTTCGCCTGTCGTTTTGCAGCCAGGCTGACCACGTCTTGTTGGAACATGCTCATTAAAAGCATGTAATCGATTTAGTCCCCTGCGCTGCTATACTTGCACTGTATCGAGAGGCTACATCTGCATGTGGCTGAGTGTAACAGACGCTCAGCTAAACCAAAGGCTAAACATGTCTAGTTAGCGGCCGAGCCTTATGTCGGAGTGAAGAACGGCTCCAGGACAGAGGGACTGAGATGACGTATGTTTCCATGCCCACAATTACAGCTTGCACGCCGGGGCAGAGCAAGACAAGCATTCATTTCAGGTGTTCTAAAGCTCCTGCTGCTAAAACCGCAAAAAAAATTATGACAGCATCGGCAATAATGTTTATCCTTCCAAACATGAAAATTATATCGAATTCCGAAACCTCTTCAGTTTCTCTTTAATGCATCTTATATTGCGTAGTGGAAGCGCAGAATCGCGCCAGCTGTCAAAAGATGCGAGTTGAACGAGTGGGTTATTTAAGAGCCCACCACCCATTACAAAGCGTAGCAGCGAAACCATCAACATAGACAATTTTTGCTTAGGTTTGCAGGTTGCCCGACGAATGCGTAGTAGGCCCTTCACTGATTCGCAAAAGGAAAAATTGTGAAGAAGTGGGCACTTAGTTGTGTTTAGAATAGGCATTCAGTGATACTTTGAAACGGCCAATGTTACATATACAGTCGTTCCTTTACTAATCATGTGGATGACGCATGTACCAAGAACCAAAGCAGACAGAATGCGATGTGCACAACACCCGATTACGCTATCGCTTGAAGGCAAAGCTGAAGCGGCCTCTAGTTTTTCTTTCTTGTTGTTGAAATTTGTTTTTTGTACTTCCCTATTGCTCAGATCTATAGAGTTTCCTAAAATTAGCTAGAGGAGACTCTTGAGTTGCAATCGTTCATTGACCATGGGAATGATGTGTAGTGATTTGCCTAAGTCTTCGTACTTGTGGGGGGAAAATCGCACTTGTGGCTTCATTTATTGCTGTGTTTCATTTTTGTTTAGTATGAAAGAACCAACCCTTTTGAACTTCATCAGCCGATTTGAAACAGTAAGCCTGAAAGGTTAAGGTGGTGAAGTGCAATTGCTGAACATTTGCAGATTGTTGTTTCGTGCCAAAGCGGCTTCAAGCCACGCTCAAAAGGAACGTACAGTACGAAGAGTTGGCAAATCCGTGTACTACCCATAATTCTCATGCTTGCTGAAGCACCATGCATTGCAGCTGCCATCGACACTAGCGCCGGAGTTCTCTCTAGTGCAGTGGTTCTCAGCCATGGATGTGTTGAGGTGTTGACCCCTTGTGGACTGGTGGAAGTGATGAGGAACCCCTTGCAGCAGAGGGGAGGGAGGGGGGGGGGGGGTACGTAGGTAAATTCACACAACTGGGTCGTGAAACAGGTGCCTTTTATTGCTACCAAAAGGATCAAACAAACGTTAAACATCGCTTCATTTTGGACAGTTTAGGGCATCAACACGTGGCACAGTCACGCTTTAAAAAAATGTGGGTGAGGGTTCCCCCCATTTGATAACGACTGCTATAGTGTATTATTAGGAAACTTATGCTCAAATCTCTTCCAATATCTTTAATTTAAAGAACAACCAGTAGGTCGCTGTGGTTTAAGTAAACAGGGTGTAACAAAGTGATATGGCAATGTTGATGGCTTCAATGTACATGTATTTAGGTCTAATCATGTTCAACTAAGTTGCTAAGGGGCACTGTTTTAAGCTACTTCTAGGAAAAAGTTGTTGTAATCAAAGGAATAATTAGTGGTGATTTGCATTAAATGTTGTTTTTTTGTTTCAAGCAGTGTTGTTTTCAGTATATCCTACAGTTTTTGTGGAGTTGCAGAAAACAGTGTTACCTGCAACAGAAAAAAAAAAAAGAGGCTCAAAGTAGTGCACAAGCACTTCTAAAAGTTTTTCTGTGTGTGATGCTGAAGATTCTGTCACAGAAATTCAAGCAAAACTGTGTAAAGGAATAAGTTGAGCTTGCTTAATATTTTCTTCTCTATCTCATTTTTTGTTTGTTCATAGGCATTCGATGCTGATGGAAAGTTCATCACGGTGGTGAAGATGACGTCTGGAATCACCCGACCTTCAGGAATTTTTGTATCGGATAGGAACAAACTTTATGTGTTAAACTACCTGCATGGCACTGTTGGTGTTTACGACCTCAAGTTTAATGAGTGAAAAACTTAACTATGACTGTCCGTCATGTAGTTTCTGCCTCATTTGTTTTGAGGTGAGAAATATCATTCAGAACTTAAAATTGTTTGAAATTTCGTGCAAGGTTTAGCCCATGTGACGAGTGCCTTATTCATTGCAATATGAGGTGATAGCTCTTAATGTAAGGTTTGCCCTTCCTGCACCACCGGCACATCATTTGAAATGTTTGTTGGGACTTAGTCCGAGTATTTGTATCTGAAAGCTGCCTGGGTGTCTGAAAGCAGCCTGAAAGCTGCCTGGAAAAGCTGCCTTAATCTGGGTATTTGTATCTGAAAATTGATCTAGAAATTAAAAAAAAGTTAAGTGTTGTGTCCCCCCATAACATTTTTTTTTTTGAAGAAAGCAGTATGTCTAGTCAGGTTCAGCACCATGTGTGTATTGTATGTTTTTTTACTTTAAAATGAAGCTTTCACAAATGGAAATAAAAGTAATTTTTCTGTATTCTGCAATGCTCAGGGTCTCATTGTGGCCCTGGGTTAATTTGTGATCTGTGACGTGCTTGTGTCACTTCAGCAAAGCAACATGTCGGAGTACTTAGTGGCAGATGGCATAAGCTGGCACCAGCTTGCAACAGAGCATTTCATGCCGTACACTAGAGAAACAAGTGATCCTTTAGCTCTTGCTAGAGGCTCAAATTGTAATGTATATAACGCATGATTGCCACTAAATACGTGTACATAGAACCAATGAAAATAAACCTGTACGACAGCATGGGTCATTTATGTTCGCATTCCTTTGCCACTGTTTTATACAGTAAAAGCTCGTTGATTAGAAAGTTCATAAATTCGAAACTTTTAATTTGAACTGATGACTTGGTCTTCTTGGCATAGTCCTGTGCTCTTTAGGAAAGTTCCCAATGATTTGATCATCACAGTATCTACAACGGTGAATTCCGAACTCGGGCTGCCCGGCTTTCATTGCTCCTCACAGAAGTCTGCCCTGAGTGATCGCAATCTGTTGCAAAACCATACCAAACTAAATTTACTAGAGATGCAAAACATTGAAACATCATTTCACAGCTGATGAGAATTCGAAGGCTGTTGTGGAGCTCTTTGCAAGCTGTGAATGTTACTCATATAGTTTTGACATTGTGACAAAGAAATGCAAGCAAATGCAAAACACTGATTACTTTTATTTCAATTGCACTATCTCTGTCCATTTAAATTAGAGCTGTGTGAATTGTAAAATTTTAGGTGCTGTGCAAATTCGAATAGCAAAGTGTGAGTGCGAATCGAATTGAGTAAAATATTTTTAGAATATTCCTAGAAAATTTTTCATGTACATCGAAGTGATATTGGACAAAAGGAGTTGGAGAGGATTCGTAAGCATATTTTTATTAGATAGCAACATGAAAGTGTTCCTTTTAGCGAAGTTGATGAATCGGTGGCAGTGTGGTGTTTTATAGTTGCCTTATCAAGAAGGAGGCAATGCAGAGGCCGAATTGTATTTATGTGCTGGCGACAACACTTTGCACGTGAAGGGCAAAGCTGTTAGTGTTTCGCCCCGCCGCGGTGGTCTAGTGGCCAAGGTACTCGGCTGCTGACCCGCAGGTCGCTGGCTCAAATCCCGGCTGCGGGGGCTACATATCCGATGGAGGCGGAAATGTTGTAGGCCCATGTGCTCAGATTTAGGTGCACGTTAAAGAACCCCAGGTGGTCGAAATTTCCGGAGCCCTCCACTACGGCGTTTCTCATAATCATATAGTGGTTTTGGGACATTAAACCCTACATATCATCATCATCAGCTGTTAGTGTTTCTTCAGCCTCTTCTCCTTTTTCAATTTCTGCGAAAGCTCGGCTGATGCAGCGGATAAGGGCGTGCTCCCTTCGAGTCTGAGTTTCCTAATCTGGCTCACAGACGTCAATATAATATGAGAACATCCGAAATTTCGGATGCTAAAAATGTTCAACATTCGACTTTTTAGGTTGTCAGCCCGAATTTCAGGTACAAAACAGCATTGAGTCCCCACCCCTGCCGCAACTATGATCTTCATGTTGGAAACTGCATTTTTTCTAGTCAAAACGTTTGCGACCATAGCAAAGCCTGAAAGCAGTTTTTTCACAATATGAGAGTGTGATGATGATGATGAAAACATTTATTATAAAAGAGAGGTACGGGGCCAAAGCATGACCCTGCTACATGGTCGGCGTCCTTAGTCCGGGACACCGCATGACGAGGCCCCTACTCGCGCCCGTCTCACCAGAGCCTGTTGAGACTCTAGTGATGAGCAGTTGAGGAGGGCAGTCTCCCATGCCTCTCGGGAAGGCGTAGGGTAGGGGGTAGGTGGGGATTTTTCAGGCATGCCCACACCATGTGGAGGATATCACACGTCTCCCCACAGTGTGGGCACCGCCCATCTGTGTTCGCATCGAAATGTTTTAGGATTGCAGGACAGAGTAGAGTACCTGTCTGCAGGCGCCTTAGAGTTCGCTCTTCCGCCTTACTCAGCCCCTTTGCAGGAGCCGGGTAAAGGTGGTGAGTGTCTCGATCATAGGTGAGAATTTCTTCGAACCGCAGCAGCGGTGTATTGGCCTTCGAGTCGCAAGAGCCAAGGTGAGGAGCCCGGTGGGTAAGCGCTCGGGCGGCCGCGTCAGCGGCCTCATTACCTCGTAAGCCCTGATGGCCAGGAGCCCATACGATGCGTTTTGGGGCTGGATCAGCGAGAGCCCGTTTTAGAATTTGGCTGGCTAGGGGGGGGGGGGGGGATATCTCTCCTGCCAAGTAATGAGTACATGCTTTTCGGGAGTCCGTGATGATAACTTTCGAGTTGGGGTCCGCAGCAGCAAGCGCTATCGCGACTTCCTCAGCGCGCTCTGCATTTTGTGCTCGGAACGAGAGCCCATTGACATGCTTTTCCCAAACATGGTGTCTGCAAAGAAGCCCTTGCCCTCAAGGTATGGGGAGAGGTGATCCCGTACCATTGTCTCCATAAGCTTGCCCGCGCATGAAGTCAGTGATATGGGCCTCAGATTTTCCCTATTAACGGCCTTGCCTGCTTTGGGGATAAAAGTCACAAGTGACGTTTTCCATTCGGAAGGGAGCGCACGGCCGTCCCAGACCTCGTTCATGTATTCCAATAAATGGAGGTAGGCTGTGTCAGGGAGGTTTGCCAACAGCTTTACTGTTATGCGGTCCAGCCCCGGAGCCGTACCCCTGCGCATTTTAGCTAAAGCCGCTTTAAGGTCATGCAACTTCGTCAGGCAGCGGTTTTGAGACACCTGCGTCGGCCTGGCCCAGAAGCTTTTCATGTTTCATATCTGAGCTAGATAACTTTACTTCAGGTTTGTCGAATATGTTCAGCTCTTGTGGTGGGTTGTCCTCCGAATCAACCTTATCCTTGTCAAATTTCTCCAGCGGGATACTCTCGTTGATATCTTGGTATGCCGATTTGCCTTTAGACGCCTCTTTGGTCACCACGTCCTGTTCGATAGCAGCGAGTGGTTCCAGCGCGGAACTTTTGCTGGAATACATTTGGTAGCTGGGACTACCGCGATGAATAGGGACTGGCTCGAGCACTATCTTCTTGTAAGCGTGGTGCGGCTCTGGCGGGATTTTACACAGGCCGTGTAAAATCCCGTGGGCGAAGGCCCTGCTATATCTACGTAGAATACACCAGGTCGGGAGCCGTGTTGCCTCTCAAGCGTCCGAGTCCGCGCCTGTCTTCTGCTTTCGTGCGTGTGCTTATCCATGTTACTGGGGAGTGGAGAGACCGAGAGCATATGCCGCCACAGTTCCGGAATACGCTCCGCCTCCTCTGCAGTGCAAGTGTGCTGTATATGTAAGCGGTTCAGCAGGTGGCGCCCGTGAGCCGTCTGCACGAGCCGCGTATATTGATTCATAAGGTGGGCCTCCCGCAACTCCAGGTAGGAGTTGAGCACATCTAACGCCCTCACTTTGGCGTTGGAAGGGGCCACCGGGAGATACAGAGCTCGTTTAGTAGCCTTACGAATGATGGCATCTATTCTTTCGCCTTCTTGCTTGTTAGTGCAAAGGTATGGGACGGCGAAGAGGATCTGGCTAGTCACGAAGGCATGGGCGAGCCGAAGCGCGTCCCTGCCCCGCAGACCACCCCGCTTGTTGGAAACGCGGTGGATCATGCGCCCTACCTGTTCGCCTATTCTCTTGAGCTTCGCTATAGTGGAGTCCGGTCTGAGTCTGTGGTGAATGAACAGGCCCAGAATCCGGAGCTCCTCCACCTCTCTGATGGGAACGCCAGACAGGGAGATGTGTATGGCTCACTTATGTCTTGGCTTCGCTCTAACGTGCAGAAGCTCTGATTTGTTTGGAGCACATTGGAGTCCACACTCGTTGGCATACGCCTCGACTATGGATGCGGCCTGCTGAAGGCGTTCCTGCATTTCACCAAGGCTCCCTTCAGTGGTCCAGATTGTAATATCGGCATATACTGCGTGTTGTGTGCCTTCCACCCTGGCCAATTCGCTTGGAAGGCGCATCATAGCAATGTTGAAAAGGAGCGGTGATTAGACTGCTCCCTGTGGGGTACCCCGTGTTCCCATAATGTACGGGCCATATTCCTCGTCCTCGATCCAAAGAAGTGCCTGGCGTTTAGAGAGAAAATCTCTGACATATGCAAAGGCCTTAGCTCCGCAATCAGTGGAACTCAAGTTAGCCAGGATGCTGCTGTGTTTAACATTGTCGAAAGCCCCCTTCAGATCCAGGGCGAGGATGGCTTTATCATTGTGTTGCATAGTTATGGGCTGTATGACGGCCCTATGGAGCTGGAGAAGGACGTCCTGTGCAGACATGTGTGGGCGAAACCCAAACATGGTGTCTGCAAAGAAGCCCTTGCCCTCAAGGTATGGGGAGAGGTGATCCCGTACCATTGTCTCCATAAGCTTGCCCGCGCACGAAGTCAGTGTTATGGGCCTCAGATTTTCCCTATTAACGGCCTTGCCTGCTTTGGGGATAAAAGTCACAAGTGACGTTTTCCATTCGGAAGGGAACGCATGGCCGTCCCAGATCTCGTTCATGTATTCGAATAAATGGAGGTAGGCTGTGTCAGGGAGGTTTGCCAACAGCTTTACTGTTATGCGGTCCAGCCCCGGAGCCGTACCCCTGCGCATTTTAGCTAAAGCCGCTTTAAGGTCATGCAACTCAAAACGGGCATCGAGTTGGTGATTAGGCTTACCAGAGTACGTGTACGCCGGCCCAGGCGGGTCCTCCGTACGACAGAGATACCTATCGCACAGAGCATCTGCAAGCTGTGCCGGAGTGTTTTGGTACCCTTGCAGAGCTCGCCGGAGCTGCTTCTGCGCCTCCCCTCTCGTTTGAGAGGGGTCTATGAGACTGCGAAAGAGACGCCATGTCCCCTTCGAGCTCATCTGACGAGCTGTGGCGTCGCAGTGGGCTATCCAATTTGAATCTGAAAGTTGGGCAGCATACGGTGCAGCCTGTTCCGTGAGTTGGGCTATGCGGATACGTAATTTGCGATTAGTCGTCTGCTTTTTCCAACGTTTTGTTAAGCTTCGGCGCGCCTCCCACAAGTGTAGGAGGTGAGTGTCAACTGCGGGGATTTCTTCGTTGGTTTGGAGGGTAGTAACAAGTCTTTTCTGAATGTTGTTTACGTGTTGAGCTTAGGGATGGGAGGCTCAATTTGCGTTGATCATGCATTCTTGCACAAATTGCACCAATTGAAAGAATCATTATCACATTCTCGGCATATTAAGCTTAGCAGGCATGGCCAAACAAACAGATTAT